TCGGTCAGATTCGTAGCTATAGTGAGCTACTAGATTGAATCGGCCTTGGTTGCGAGGCAGATTCATTCAAGTTGTTCTTCAAAGAGTATCTACAGGAAAAAAAAATATAATAAGAAACGAGAAAAAAAGTGAATCTAACATAAAAATAAAATAAAATAATAATCATAAAATAGTAATAAAATAACAGAATCTAGTTACTAACTATCCCGTTGTGCCAATTGTTACAACGGGCTCGATTTGCATCTAACCTCTGAAACCAAGATCACGTTTCAAGTCCCGGCCTACCGAACACGGGGTAAATTATGGTCGAGTTCCTTGCCAAAAGGAGCTAGCTCGAGGTCGGATGGATTCGATCCCTGAGTCACCTGATCCGCAATCCGCACGGAAACCCACTGAGCTAACTCCTACTTCGGGTAGAAGAGGAGCAACTCTGTTATATGTTGAAGTGAGGCTCAGTCCGCCTAGTGGTCTGAGCCCGTTTCTAAGTCTGCGTGCGCGCACGCTTGCCGGCCGGCATGCCTGCCCCGAGTGCTTGTCGGCTTGAGTGCGTGGGTGACTCGCGAGGACACTTGGTAGGTCGGAAGGCCCGATGGGCCATTACTTATCCGTGATCGTGACATTGAGGGTTACAGCGGGGAAAAACACTCAAGTGGCGATGAAGGTCCGCGACACTTTAAGAGTAGAGGAAAACACTCAAGTAGCAGGTAGGCCGGTACCACACCAAGTGGACGTAGACGTGCCGAGTACTCAAGGCTGACCAGAAGGCGACAAAAGTTGGCATTTTTAGAGGCCTAGTACTGGTAGGTAGATAGGTTTCAGCGCAAGTCTCAGTATGTGTCGTCGATTTACCCGACACAATACTAACCCAATACACCCTTTGACCTCTTTTGTCAAAGAGTATTACTACCGACTCTAACCATCAGAGCACACGTCACCATAATGCGCACGCATACAAAACAAAATTTTCTCACCGATTTGCCCCGGCCTCAATGGCCGAGGAATTCGTTTTCGAGTGTCATGCCAAAGAGCGCACACCCTTTCCATTCAGACTGACTCTATTATGGTAGCCGATATCGTCACTGTGTCGAATGCAAAAGCATGGTCAAATACTAAATACCCTTGTAAGGGTATTTGGCCCGACAACGCCCACCTAAGGGATAGTGACAACTCCCATAAGTTGTACCTCGCATGACCCTATCATGTCGTAGGGGGTCGCGAGAGGTATGGTTGACGCACTCGACTGGAGCGGAGACGAAAGCTCCATTACACCCCGATAAAAGGATGAAAATTTCTTCTACAAATCCTGCATGACGAAGTCGGGAGGGTCCCCCTGCGAGACTGATGCGCTCGACAGCGATGAGGAGAATCTTTGAGGCGGTGGACGTCAAGGGCGAGTGCATCAAATTGCGCTTGCATGGGTGCAAGCGCATCTAGTGACACTTGCATAGGTGCAAGGAGGGTCGTGAGGACAATCTCAAGGTATGTAGGGGCCTGACCCAGGACTGCTGGTTGAATGGACGCCTAGTGCCGCAACGATCTCCTTGGGTGTACTCCGGTACATGTATAGTGGAGGGATAGGGCTAGACATGGTGGGAGGTGGAAAAATAAGTGGGGAAAAATATGGGATGGTGTGTGGGGAAAGGGGTCCACCGGTAAGAGGGAGGAGACCGTGGGATCGAAGTGGATAGTCGTGAGTCGGCTCACTCCGTGACCAGTGGGTCGCGCATGAGAGAGTGGTGCGAAGCCGGTCGAAGGAAGAAGTTTCATTCGGGTCCAGGGTGACTGATGGGAGTAGTCGGGAAAGGAGGGAGGTTAGGAAAAACCTAAACCTTATAAAAACTCTGAAAAAAAATTAACCAGAGTTTAGGGGGTCAGGGTAAAGTAGTGGCGACCTAATCAAGAAAAAAAATAACAAACATGGAGGGGGGGGAGGGGGAAATAAATAGATAGTGAATTTTTTAGATCAAAATAATAATGATAAAATAAAAAAAATAAAAAAATAAAAGTTGAGGAGAAAAATAATATACATATTTTTTGAATTTTCAGCAACATTTTTTTACCCCTCATGGGGAAACAAATGTGCTAAGAGGGAAGAGAGACCAAGGGAAGTACACTAAGTTTCACATTGTTGAAAATTATTTTTTTTAGAAAAATAAAGAAAGTAAAAAAAATGAGGAGGTGGAGGATACTGAAGAAAAAAATAAGTTTTGATTTTTTTAAAAACATTTCTAATAACATTTTGTTACTCCCATGGGGTCAAAGTTTGCCGTCAAGAAGAATGACCAAGTAAAATAAAAAACTTTTGTCAACACTTTGCTGCCCCTAAGCGGTTAAAATGTGTTGGAAGAAGAGAGTAGGGAGAAAAAAAAAAAATTTAAGCATCACTTTGTTACTCCCAAGGGGTTAAAACGTGCGTCGATAGTATAAATGACTAAGTCCTAACAAAATATAGAGGTGCCGCAAAACAAAACAAAAATAAAATAAGTAAAAATAAGAAATAAAATAAATAAATAATAAAAAAAGAAAATAAGATATTCGATGTTTTGGATAATTTTTTTATTTTTTAATTAAAGATAAAAACAAAAGAATAAAAACACAAAATTGAAGTTGGGGGGAGAGGGGGGAAGGAAAAAGTGATGAAGAAAGAGAGAAATAGGTAAGAAGAATAAAAATATTGAAGTTGAAGGTGACGAAAATGATGGGGTTGTGGTTGGGGAAGTGAAAAGGGAGACGAGGGTGAGAGAATGAGAGAGAAAAGGATGAGAAAGGTGGAGAGGGAAAAAAAAAATAGTAAAAAGGAGTGGGTGGGTAAAAAGGAGAGAGGAAAAAAAAATTGTGAAAAATTAGTGAAGAGGGAGGGGTATGAGAGAACAATGGTAAGGAGAGGAGAGAAAGTAGGGAAAAAAAAACGTAAGAGTGAGGTAGGATGATGGAGTAGTGGTAGAGTTAGAAAGGATGATTAAATGATATGGGGGAAAAAAAAAAAGGTTGGGGGAGAGTAAGTTAGTGAATAGGGAGGTTATACCAAACTCTTGGGTGACCAAGAGCAGACCAAGAGCAGATAATGTTACCAAAATCTACATTATTTTTTCTTACAAGATGCTGCTGGCTTGTTGCGGCAACAATAAAAAAATAAATAAAAATAATGATGATAATATGAGGTTGTTTGAGATCTTGATCAACCACCCAAATGCAATTCTAGTGCAACCCCTTAGTTAGGGGTTCTTTAAGATCCTCAGCAAGCTGCCATGTGACACTGCAGGTATTCACTAGTTACATGCGCAGGCGACAGCAGCCATGCCCGGGGGGAAAAATAGTTGTCGTGTCGCTCGCTGTTCGCTGCGCACCGCTCGCCAACGGGGCCGGGGGGGGGGGGGGGGGGGGGGGGTAAATAGTTGCCATGACACTCTTCAACACCAACGTGCCACAATATCGACTCGTACTGTGATTTTGACCAGTGCATTACAACATTGGCCACACATGTGCACGAGGAACAACTGCCCATGTTGAAACCCTGGCAGCAACATGCGTCCCGAATCTTGACATGTATAATCCGGGAGTGGGGCAGGGCGGGCCAGTTGGGCAGCGGGGCGCTTGGCGGGCGCTCGTGCAGCGACCTTGACTTTGACGCTTGCATTGCAGATACGTGCTACTTTTTCCTGATGCTGATGACACGTGTCGGATTCTCCCGTTGTAACACCTTCGCAATTGCTTTTTCTCCCGTTTTTCCCCGCTGTTTGGTATTGCAACACTTGCGCTGCCTTGCAGGGAGGGATGGGTGGGAGCAGGAACCGTTCCCGCTATGATGCCAGTGTGACGGACCCGCCGGGATGGTGATGGGGGAGATGAAGATGGAGCTGGAAGAGACAACGCAACTCCAACGCAGACTCACCAGTCACGTACTCCAAACTGTGCAAATGAAGAATGAGATTGAAAACAAACTGCAAGTGGGGTATACCCCCAACAGACTGAATGGACTGGACTGGACTGAATGAGCACACGGCCTGTGGGGTCAGGCCACGCCCTGGTCCCACAGACCAGACAGACAAAATAGCCAGATAGCCCGTGACCACAGGTCCCCCTGACATCAAAAACCTCGGGGTACCGGTAGCGCCGTTTCACGACGGGTACCGGTCGTACAGCGTGGAAAACCGGGCGGGCCTCCGTACGAAATTTGCGACAAAAAATGGAAATAAACCGAATCGGTGCGGCAAATATTTCACCGTCAAAATGATTTTTTTTTTCCTGATATTTTTCCCTGAAAGATCACGACCTAATCTACGGACCCTCAAATTTTCAGATATTTTCATGACTTCTTCTGAGCACAAAAAATCGGCAAAGTTGCCGCTTGCAAAATGGTGGGATTGGACCCGTCGGCCTCCGTACAACCCGACGCGTACGGTCGCCGCCCCTCCGTACAACCCGGCCCTAACTCACAGGGCTGGGGTTTTCGGTGGCGGGGGGACCTGTGGTTTTAAACCAGGGCACGTCGAGGCACGCTGCATACTCCTCGAGAGAATTCGCTGTACTGCAATTAAGGTGGGTTTGGCAGCACCTTCCTCCTTGGTTTTGGGCGATAGGAAGGATGGGTAACAGAGGTAACATGAACTGTACCCAGCCCTACCCTTGAGGCCCGCCAAGCACCTTGTCTTTCTTTCCTCTACTGGTTTTCTATTGGGTCTCACCTTGGCCTTCTTTCTGGGCCACCCACCCTGTACACTCCCCTCAACGTCGGCCGCAGGTAACGCAGGCCTGGTTTTCAACAGGACCACATGGGTGTAGCATTCAGGCATATGGTTGGCATCCCCCGCTATATTCGTCGTCAAACCCGAAGTTACGCGCCCGTGTCCTGTCCTGTTGTGTCCTGTCTGGTCGAGTCTGCCGGTGGTCAGCTCTTGAGGGGGAACTGTGTCTAGCGGATGGCGACCATGCCGTTCACCGATGTAGCTGCAGTTCCTGTGCGGGAACGGATTGGAGGGCGAGCTAACTGAGGTTTTACTGCCAAACGTCCCTGTGTGAGGACCCTTTCCGAGGTGCCATGCCTCGGCGAGGGCCGAAGCACACGCTGGAAACGAAGCCCCTCCTGATTTCCGTCTCCGTTTCGGAGCGTCATGTTCGCAGCCAGCCAGCTTCCCCGCTCCCTGGTAGCACTCGCTTCGTCTGCGCGCTCGCCACCCGTCTGCTTGCCCGCCCTTCCCCGTGCCTTCCCCGTCCGCTCGCGTGACCCGGTTTTCTGCGCGGATTAGCTGTATCGTCGGCGGAGGGGCTCGACAAGGAGGCTAGGCGGGTTAGTAGGGGTTGCGCATGTCTCGCCCAGCCACGTCAGGCAACGCCCCGTTAGTGCCCTATGTTGTAAGCCTGCGTAGGCGGGTGCCTTGGCTGGGGACTGAGGAGGAACTCCCCAGCCAGCCTTGTCAGCCAACCAGCCCATCAGCCCGCCAGCCAGCCAGCCAACGCCGCACGTGCGCTGTGCAAGACACTGCAACTTTCGGTTCGCACGTATATGTCTGCAGCTACGGGCATCGACAGCAGGCGAGAGCCACGTCAGCAATCAACCATCAAACGTCATTCTTTCAGGCTCCCTCTCGATCAAGCTATTCATCAACTTATCAGTCTCCCACCACTCGGTTTCCTCTTGTCTGATCGAAGTACCGTCTGTGCAACTGGAAGAGATCAACGGCCGCCTTTCTGTTTTTTCGCCGTCATGGGGCGCGTGCCGGCATGTAGCATTAGGAGACGACGGTACTCCGCAGTTGTTATCGCCTTCTCAATCCCCATTCTTTTCCTACTAAGTCTTGCCGGCCAAACTCAAGCAAGCGAGTACGACCACCGGGTAAGTTCCTCCCTCTCCAAGTTTCCTGCCTTTCTTCTTTCCCCTCCCCCACCCCCCTCCTCTCCCCCATGCTGTGCCTCTGCTCACCTTCTCTTTCTTCCTCGATTGGCGGGTCCTCTTCACCCCGCCCGTCTTCTCTCCTCCTCACCCCATGTCTCTCCTGTTGCTCATCCCTTGTTCTATCCATTCTTCCTCTCCATTCTACTCCCTTACCCTTCCTCTTCTGCTGTTTGGTCGCCGGGGCTGCCCGTGCTAAACCGAGCACAGTGGCTTTCCAGAACCCCGCGCTCCTGAAACAATCCCTCTTTTGTCCAGTTGTGCGTCCATCAACTGCCTCTTCCTCCCGGACCCCTCCTACGCGTTTAACTCTCACCCCTTTTCGGCTAGATTCGTTCGGAATTCGTGTTCCACCCTTTTCGGCTCTGATTGCCTGCCTGAGTCTGTGTCTTTTTTCCTTTTTTTCGCGTTTCTTCCTTCACCTGCGGCGCGGGTTCCTCTCTTGAGTACCGTCAGCACAGATCTTGATGGCGGGGAAAGGCCTGCCTCATTTAACCCCCCCCCCCCGTACGGCGGTCCCGAAAGTGTCGTACATGCCCATTCTTGGTCTTCCAATGCTCATTACCACTCTTTCCAATTTCGGTCTATTCTCCAGAAAGGCGAAGCATGGCGGCGACAAGCATTTGCAAGAGGTCTTCGTCACCCGCCATTATTACAAGATTGGTCCTTTTCTGACTGGAGCAGACCCTAGTTTTCGCCTTCTGACGGCTTTGTTCGGGCGCTGCAGAAATGCCTCGCGGCTACATCATCTCGGCCGTTGATGCAACAGATCTACGGCGATATCCTGTTAGAATTGCTTGCCCGTTGCTAGTGCATTAGAAAAGCTTAGTTCGTTACTATAGTGGGGTATTGCAGGGATAGATTCTTCACATGACCACCACACGAGAGTGGGCATGCCTCCGTCAGACGCATCGTCTGGAGATAATGGAAAGCCTCCCGTCCAAGCCTTACGGTCTTCTCCGCGGGAATGATGGTGTCCCCTACGTCTCTGCATTGCCGGTAACATACATCTTCTTCACCTCTCAATTTCTCTCTCTCTCTCTCTCTCTCTCTTTCTCTCTCTCTTCCCCCCTCCCCCAACCCCACCCTAATCTACACTACACCTACCCATCCCATGGCCATCTTCAGTTTACAGGGGCAGTCACCAGCGAGGTATGTTTTTACTCTCTCTCTCTTTCTCCATTCGACTATAAGTCGGACGTCGATCTTCTTTCTCCATTTGATGGCTATGTTTTGTAATCGTTAGTGAGAAATAGAATCTTTCGATTGTAATTCGGACGTCGGATCTTCTTTCTCCATTCTCCTCTGTTCATGCATCTCCGGCAGTGCACTTCTCTTCTATTCTGTCCCATCTCAATCTTCTACCTTCTCCTGTGGCAAGGTTCTTAAATCGTTCTTTTTCCCCCCTTTCTTCTCGTTGTTTCTCCTGGTGCCTAATCTCGTTGTTTTTCATGTCTTCGCGCCGAAATCTATCGTTTCGAGTCTCCTGTTCTCTATTCTTTCCCCCCGTTTGTCATGTATGCAATTTTTCCGTCGTTTTCTTCGGTGCTTGTCGTCCTTTTTTTTGTCTTGTTATGGATCGATTGTGCCGCCGGTCTCCTTCCTTCGTGCCCTCCCTCCGTGTGATGATTCTAAAGGGGGGTTTCATTCGCGTGGTCTTTGTCGACAAACTCGCGTGATCTTTGTCGACAAAGAAAAAGGGCAAAGAAATAACGATTCATTGTCCACTTTCAGATCTTCCCTGGGTGTTTGCGACTCTGCTTGTCTGCTGCTGCGTCCTCTCCCCTCCCAAAAACGTGGAGAAAAGCTCTTCTTTCCTATCGTGGGAGAGGAGGATATGTTTGATTTGTCCCCTGCCTGGCTACCGACTGCTTCCCCCGAAGACCTTTCTGGTGGGAGTAAGAAAGACGGGACACAATGGTGTGAGAACAGTGCGATGATCGTCGGCTAAGTGGGCATGGTGTCTTCAAGGATATGGGCCTGGTTGAGCGAAGACGATCTGACTCAAATTGTTGATTCAGTTGCTTGAAGAGGTCCTTCGTCGCCTCTACCTTTCCCGGGCTTTCACTTTCCAATGGTTGTACGTTCGTGGGCGGGAAGCTGCCCTTCCCTTCCCTTGCCTTCCCTTGCCTTCCCTTGCCTTGCGTTGCCTTGCCTTGCCTTGCCTTGCCTTGGCTTGCTTGCTGTCCTGCGTTGTCATTGGTTCCACGTTTTGGGCGGGAAGCTGCCCTGCCCTGCCCTTCCCTTCCCTTCCCTTCCCTTGCCTTGCCTTGCTTGGTGTCCTGCGTTGTCGTCTCTTCTCTGGCGTCTCGGGATCGGGCCAACTACTCCTGGACTCTCTCATCGCCTCCGCGTCTTGCTACAGTTGAGTAGTCTGGTGTCCGTGAGGGACCACATGCCTCTCATCGCTCTGCGCTATGTTATTCTGTCTCGCTGGCGTTCACTGACCACTTCTTGGTGAATCTTTCTGCTCTTTATTCTCTCTACCATTTTCTGTCCTATCACTTCCCTCCTATTGCGTTCCCTCTCTTCCCATTTTTTCCCTTTCTCTCTGCTCGTCTTTCATTATTTTCCCGTCTCGCCTTCTCTCCACCTCTTGCATCTCCATCTCCTGTCCTTTCGCCTCTATCCTTCTCTACCCTATTTTTTTCTCTCTCAGAGGACAGTTCTCTCTCTCAGGACAGTCCAGTCGACTCCTGACCTGGACTCGAACGCAAGACCGTTCAATTTGCGAGACTACCATTGCGAGACTCCCGACCTGGACTCGGAACTCCAGTCGACTTTCCTTTCTCTATTTGCAAACTGTTTCTTTCCCATGTTCTATCGCCCTGTTTGTGTCTTTCTCTTACTCCCTTCTCCTCACCTGTTCTTCTTAACCCGATGTCTATCTTCTGGTCTTACCCTTTTCTAATTCCCTGTACTCTCTTTACTTCCACTCCTGCTCTTGCTCCGTTTGCCCTTTCTTTCCTTTACCTGATTCTTCTTCCTCTCCCCATTCATTTCTCCCTCCTCTTCTTCCATGTTTCAGTGCGTCTCATCTGCAAGCCTTCTCTTTCCATACTACATCTTCGTCCTTTTCCTCATTCCCTGCTTGTATTCGTTTCCTTGCCACGTTTTTCGCCAGTAGCGTCTGTCTGGTTTCCTATTTCCTTCGTTGGCCCCCTATGCGCTTCTCTCTCTTTATCCTTTCTCCTGCTAATTATGGAGTTCCGTCGGTTCCAGGGTACTGCTCGGTCTCATCCTGGATTGCATGTCTGCAGGCATGCTCGGGACGCATGATGTACAACGTGTGGTAATTGTTCGTCAGATAGCTCAACGGCATAGGAGACGGACGAAAAGAGATCCCAACTCTCTATCTTGCGCTTTCTAAAACGTGTTCGTTTGTCCTCTACGCACCGTCGGACAAGTGGAGCGCACACGTGTCGGTAGCCAATCTGTGTGTGTGTGTGAGAGAGAGAGAGAGAGAGAGAGAGAGAGAGAGAGAGAGAGAGAGAGAGAGAGAGAGAGAGAGGTGGAGAGAGAGAGAGAGAGAGAGAGAGAGAATCAATCTGTATGTGTGTGTG